TAACATGGATTTTTCTGGGATATTCTATAAATATGGAAACCCTGGTGGCATAGTGGTTACGTGCTACAGCTGCTAACCAAAAGGTCGGCAGTTCGAATCCACCAGGCGCTCCTTGGAAACTCTATGGGGCAGTTCTGCTCTGTCCTGTAGGGTCGCTATGAGTCGGAATTGACTCGATGACAATGGGATTTATTCTGTAAATATACAAGTGTATTTATCTATTCACCCTCAGTTTTTTTAAGTGTTCAAAACCACAGAAAAATTGAAAGATCAGTACAGTGATAACCTTTATTTCCCTCGTCTAGATTTACTGTTAATATCTTGCCACACTCATTTTGTCCCTCAGTATTAATCACACTTCCCTCCTCCACCATCTGAAAGTAGGCTGCAGATGTTATGACACTTCACTGCTAAATACTTCAGCACGTATCTCCTAAGAACAATGACATTTTAATTGTTGTAAAAATATATGTAACACCGCATTTGCCAATGTAACGTTTTTCACGTGTACAGTTTATTGACATCAGTTACATTAGTCATGTTGTGCAGCCATCAGCGATAAAACCCCAAAAAGCCAAAGCCGTTGCTGTTGAGTTAATTCCGACTCATAGCAACCCTATAGGACAGTTTAAAACTGCCCCATAGGGTTTCCAAGGAGCAGCTGGTGGATTCGAACTGCTGGTCTTTTGGTTAGCGGCCATAGCTCTTAACCACTACACCACCAGGCCTCCTACCATCACCGATATCCACTGCCAAATTTTCCATCACCATAAACAGAAACTCAGTGCGTCCTAAACGTTGATTCCACCTTTCCTCCCCGCTCCTGCCCTGGTAACCACTAGTAAACTTTGGTTCTCTATCCATTTGCCTATTCTAGATACATTTTTCAAAGCATGAATTCATATTAATACCTGCAGTTCAAAGCAACACCACATGGTTCTTCTTCATTTCCTTCCATTATATACTTGTATCTTTTCTCCTGAAGTGCCCTGATGGCGCAGTGGTTAAAGTGCTCAACTGTTAACTGAAAGGTTGGCAGTTCAAACACACCAGCCACTCTGCAGGACAAAGATGTGGCAGTCTGCTTCCTTAAAGATTGACAGCCTCTCTTCTCCCATCGTGAAAATCCTGGTTCTTAATAACATCAGTATATTTACTTATTTCTGTATCTTATAGTACACTCACAAATAATTTCAGAATTACTATGCTAATATCACCAATGATAACAGCCGACCTAGAATTCTTATTTGTTTATTTATATTGTGCTTTAGATGAAGGTGTACAGAGCAAATTAATTTCTCATTAAACAGTTAATACACACATTGTTTTGTGACACTGGTTGCCAACACCATGACATGTCAACACTCTCCTCTTCTTGAACTTGGGTTCCCCATTACCAGGTTTCCTGTCCCCTCCTGCCTTCTCAACCTTGCCCCTGGGCTGGGGTGCCCATTTAGTCTCAGTTTATTTTATGGGCCTGTCCGATGTTTGGCTGAAGGGTGAACCTCAGGAATGACTTCAGTAGTGAGATAAAATGGTGTCTAGGGGCCATACTCTCGGGGTTTCTCCAGTAAGTCTAGTCTAGTCTTTTTTGTGTGAGTTAGAATTTTGTTCTACATTTTTCTCCAGCCCTGTCCAGGACCTGCTATTGTGATCCCTGTCAGAGCAGTCAGTGGTGGTAGCTGGGCACCATCTAGTTGTGCTGGACTCAGTCTGGTGGAGGCTGTGGTAGTTGTGGTCCATCAGTGCTTTGGACTAATCTTTCTCTTGTGTCTTTGGGTTTCTTCATTCTCCCTTGCTCCAGGTGGGGTGGGGACCAGTGGAGTATCTTCTATGGCTGCTCACAAGCTTTTGAGACCCCAAAGTAGGGGATCACCAAAGTAGGATGTAGAATATTATCTTTATAAACTATGTTATGCCATTTAAGCTAGATGTCCCCTGAGATCATGGTCTCCAGCCCTCAGCCCAGTAATTCAGTCCCTCGGGGAATTTGGATGTGTCTATGGAGCTTCCAAGACCTTGCCTTGGTCAAGTTGTGCTGACTTCCCCAGTATCATGTACTATCTTACCCGTCACAGTACCTAGAATTCTTTACAGTTCTTTTTGTCCTTATAGTATATTCTACTATGGGATACTGTGTTCCTTAACTTTTTTTCAGCGTTGTTATACTGTCAATTTGGTATGCAGTTAGTATCGTTTGTTTCTGTTTGTATTCAATTTTAGCACTTTACTTTTAAAATTATTGTTTATTTAATTTTATTTTTTGAATATGTAAAGCATTTACGTGGCTCAAAAGTTTAAAAACTACCTAAAAAGATATACTTAGGAGTCTCACTTTTATCCCTGACCCCTCCATCCAGTATACACCCCCATCCCTTTTAGGTAACCATTTATTAATTTCTGGCTTATCTTCCCTGTGTTTCTTTTTGCAAAAACAAACAAATAAGTAAATATTCTTTTTATTTACTTACGCAAAATGTAGCATATGATCTACTGTAATATATGTGTTATACTATATACTATTGTTTATCTTATATTATAACTTGTAAATCGTTCCATATCAATTCATAGAGATCTTCCTTACTTTTCTTTGTAATGGCTGCATAGACTGCAGTGTTCGCATGTACCATAATTTATTCAACTAGCGTCCTGTGGACGGACATTGAGGTTGTTTTCAAAATTTTGCCGTTATAAATAATAATACTGCAGTAAATAACTTTGTCCGTATGTTGTTTCAATTTGTAAAGGTGTATCTGCATGGTAAATTTCTAGATGTGGGAATGTTAAAGAGTGAGGTAGGAGGAAAACTGAGTGAATGTGGTATTTCGGAGCCAAGTGAAGAAAATGCTTCAATTAGTATGAGAGGATCAACTGATCAAATGCTGCTGAGAGGTCAAAAAAGATGAGACAGTGAAGCTTACCGTTGAATTTAGCAATGGGGAGGTCATTGGTGACATTGATAGCAGTGTTGTATGTGTGTTGGGGGAGCTTGATTGAAGCAGGTTCGGAAAAGAATGGGAGGAAAGAAATGGGAGATAGCAGATATAGAGAACTCTTTCAAGAGTTTCACCCTATAAAAGTACATAGCCACAGTCATCTTACCAGCTTGCTTTTCAGCTCTGCAGCTGAATTTAAGGTAGTCATTTTCTGATAGTCGGATGAATAGCCTGTCATTACTGATGCATATAAAATTTTTTGCTATATACTATTTTGTTTTGGATTGCTAAGATGTATTTGTCCATGGCCAAGTTAATAATAAACGGGCAGAGTAGTTCTTATACATGCGAAGTGTAGAAATGACCACAACAGTTGCAGTGGTATGATAAAGTGCTTGAAGTTCTAAAAGTGTTAGAAAACATAGAACTTACAGATTAACAGTAACCAGCATTTTTTGGCCTTGTCACCACTTTGACCTTTTTTAACAAAAAAATTTCTATCAAGTCTATTGAAGAATATTTTTTGTATCCATATAGTTCTTATTTTATAATGAAAATTTAGTAGGAAACTGGGTTATGGTTAAATTTACTATAATATATACAAATGGTTTATGTGACTGGGTCCTTTATTGGTCAGATAGAAAGTTGGTTGTACCCTTAATTTAAGGCGTGGATGGCAGACACACAACACATGTTGTAAAAATGGCACAGCAGTGGCGCCTGACCTCCTTTAACTTCATGAGAGGGAAGGATCATCATTATCAGCATCAACCGCCCGAGGGTGATTTCTGTGAGGTGAAGGTCAGACATTCCTCCACCCTCCAACCTTTCTACCAGTTCTGACACCAGCTGTTCCTCCCATGTCACTCTCTACTTCTCTGCTGGGTTTGATAATTAGTTGCAATGGACACACACAACTCACAGACCATACTCACAGTTATGGGGTTTATTAGGAACGTAACAGGTTACAATTCAGGATTAGAAATGACTCAGGATACGGTTTTCTGATCATGACTGTGCCTGCAGGCAGGCCTCTTTCTGGCCCTCGGCCTCTCACCGTCTCGTCCTGGCCTCTGCCCTGTTCTGGCAAGTGTCACAAAGCTCTTTGGCTCTGCCAGTAAGTGCCTGGGGGCACCCCACTCTGCCAAGAAGCCTCCTGCCTGAAGGCTGTCAGCTCTCTCGCTCCGTGGGTCGGCACACCCACTGTAACCGCCTTGCTTTGTGGTCCAGGAAGCCCACTGCGCCGTCTTGCACTGGTCTCTTGGTTCTGCTGCCGCTGTTTCTCTGCCGCCGCTTCTCCTTGTCTTATGCCGTCTCCAGTGTTACAGCTCTTTGTCTCTGTCTCCTGGGTCTAGGAGGTTCTCATCGCAGGGACCCTGGGTCAAAAGGATGCACCCTGCTCTCATCTCTTCTTCTTGGTGGTAGTTAGGTCCTCCCTGGAATGGCTCGTTTTAAGCCTAATAGGATGGCAAAACTGAACAATCCCCTCATTAGGGCTCCTTACACCTTATTTGCATGGTCCCACCCCTACAACGGTGCCATACACCTTATTTACATTATTAGCAAGCTGTCTAATCCCCCTGGTGGGCCAAAAGCACCTCATTTGCATTGTCCCACCCAGTAATTGTGTTGGAGTCACAGATTATGGCTAGAAAGGTCGTATTAAGTAATTCATTGCACTGCACATGTGCTGCTATATTCTCCTCCTGTCACCATTTCTAATCAGCCATATTGCTTTATTTCTTCTTAGGTCAGATGTATTGTCAGAATTCTTGTTAATAATGTTCTAGAAAGTCACTACCAATTAGTCGAAGATAGCATATGACATGAAATCTGTTTTTTTAATTTCCTGAGGGAGAGATTTAGTTCACAAGATAAAAATTATGTGGAAAACAATACATAAATTAGAAATCAGTTATGAATTGGTTATCATCCACACTGTTAAGAGTTTATCAATAATAGTAATTGGTAATGAGAGACCCTAATAGAGCTGGCATAGGGATACAGTGATGATTCTATTGTCAAATCATTGAATTGACGATTGATCTCTATTCTTTTCCAAAGATTCTACCCTGTTTGCTGAACTTGGTTATCTCACGGACACTGATGAATTGCAATTGGATGCAGCAAATGAAACTTACGTAAGTATTTTGTAGCAGAGAAACACTGGATAATAGGATATTTAATCTTTATTCTAATTATTGCAGATAGGTTTCAGGACAGTAGGTTTAGGCTAGTTATTTAAGTGAAAGCAACTTTTAGCACTAAATATGGAAGTTAGTTGCCATTTTGTAGTTAGTAAATGTAGGGTTGTAGGTATTGCATTGGTGGTCTTGGTATGAGAAGATTGTATTCTAATCTCATCTGTGGCCCCAGAGGTGGGTAACCTTGGAAGAGTCACTTAACTGCTTACTTCTTGGTTTTACAGATAGTTTGCTCCTGAAGGGAAAGAGTATTAAGAGGTGTATGTGAGGGAAGAAGATGAGACATGGACCAGTCAAGTAGTACTTGTCCTCCTTTTTAAAAGTTATGTATTCTTAGTGTAGAAAGCTCTGAAAATTAGGTTGTTCTTAACTTTTTGTTTTTGGGTGGTTAGAAGCCTATGTAAAAGCTTTTATTATATAAGTTATTGAAGAGCCAGAGTACATAAGTGCCAGTATGTTTCACTTCCCATAAAATGGGCCTGTTAAATTTACAACTAGGTGAAATTGTTAGTCTGTAAAAGGTGAGGATTGAGTCAGAAGGATCCTTAAAGTAGGTTACGCCCCCTATTGAACATGTTACACAGTATTGCTAGCACTCAGATAAGCATCATTGCTAAATTTACTCATACTGAGAAGACTTAAGGGTTTTTTATTGTTGCTGAAAGTATAAGGCTGCTTGATTTTTTTGCTGTGTAGATTCAAATAAGAGAAAAAAGAGAAGGAAATTGATTTAAAAGTGATTCTTTCATGATTTAAGTAGTGTTTTTTTTAATGTGAACATCCACACGTGTCAACATTTACTTAGTTAAAGGCAATAGAAAAAGAGAACAGTTTCCCTTCTTGCCTCTTAACTCTTTCTGTGACATTGTATGTAAAAATAAAGCACATAATAGACATTTTGAAGTGATAATATTGTTCTAGAAATTATTAACAAATGGTTTTTAATAATGACTAGATTAATCTTTACTTTTTGCCTGTGGTTTACTTTCTCTACTATAGCTGTTTTATCTGTCACATTGTTTATATTGACTGCGTTTTGGTGTTATTGCTTTGTTTACATATTAAATTTATTTCTGTTCTTGTCTCTGTAACTCCCGACACTTTAAAATAGAACTGTTTGGTACCATCTTGATCTCATACTCACATGAGGGTTCTAAAATCATGTGGTAGTTCCTTATATATGTGTATAATATCAAGTGGTCATCCAGATGATCCAGAATATGCTTATATTTAAGTTAAAAAAATTACCAACTAAATGAAAAGGGACTAATGGAGGCCCCCCAAGAGTTTGTTGACCCATTTGAGAAACTTAGTTTTATCGAAGATTAAAAAAAAATTTTATTAATAAAAGTATATCTGTTTATTTTATAAATTTGGAAAGTACAGCAGAGTAGAAAAAAGAAGAAAACTACCCGTATCTATATGAATCTTTTCCTTCCGCCATAACCATTTTTAATATTTTGGCATATTTAGTTAGGAGTTTAGTTAAAGTCTCTCTATGATTCCTGCATGTCTTTTGGATACACCTATATTCTTCCCATTGTATATAGAGATGATGTTATGAATAGGCATTTACTGTGACTTGTTTTCCTCAATGATAATGGGAAAACTTACTTTGCTAGGTTTTCTTTATGACAAAAGACACATTTTGTGACTCCTGTGATGGTCTGAATGCCATAGGAAAGAATAAAGCCAACTAAATCTTTTAGATGTTGAATCTGTTACCTCCTTCCCAGTTGTTACTGCTGTGCCCGAATAACTGAATTGGTTTATTTCTAGGTTATCCAAGATGTATTCTCAACATGACCTGGTTGACTTAGAAAATTCTTTTTACTAGGTTAGGTGATAGCATATTATTTATGGCAAATTGTGTCTTATAGTTTGATTTCAAGATGAATATATTTTATTCTTTTAATATTCTGATTTTAAATCTACAGGAAAACAATTTTGATAATCTTGATTTTGATTTTGATTTGATGCCTTGGGACTCAGACATTTGGGACATCAACAACCAATTTCGTACAGGTAATGATGTGTTTCATTGGTAAAAGCTTTAAATGGATCCATTTTATTTTGTAGTTTAGTGATACTCAAAATTAGGAGGGGCTAGTGGGCTACTTTGGTGGGTTAAAAGATTCCAGGGACTAAGTACCCCACTTCTGGTATGGCAATGCATAGATAAACTTCCTGCTGAAATGTATGTAAAGAACTTCATAGTTATCTTTCAGTAGTGTAATGAATGAATAAGAATTCATATCAGAAATAGAAATACTGATGTTGAATTATAAATAATACCTCTATAAGAGATTTATCTACCTGGGAACCAGATAGGCTTGGGGGATCAGAGGGAAGAGGCTGGGGTTAACAGAACCTAACAACTTGGAGGAGAGGTCCTATGTATTTGATGCACAGACTTCTGAGGAGTGTGGTAGTGAAGTGGATTGTCTAAATTCATGAAGTATCCTTGATAAGAATCAGGATCAGCACAAAGCTAGGTCCTCTCAGGCAGAGGTCAGACATACCTTCACTTTGCAACTTTTTCATTTCCATTTCTGACACCAGCTGTCCCACCCCCTCACCCCACCCCCACAGCACTGTGCAGTGGTCACACAGAACTCACAGACCGTACTCAAAGTTACATGGTTTATTAGGGAAGTGACAGGCTACAACTTGGGATCAGGATCAGGAAGCACACAGGCAAGGTCTGGAAGGCTCTCCTGAAGTGGGGAGCATATCCCTCCCTTCTTTCAGTGCAGGACAGCTTCCAACCAGGACAGTGCTCTCAGCTGCTCTTTGCCATCAGGCCACTCTGCCCAGGCCTCTCCACTGCTAGCTGGCCCAGCTCATTGCCAGTGTAGCAGCTCGTTCAGCAACCTTAGCTGCTCTCTACCGCCAGGCCTTTCTGCTATCAGACCTGTCTGCTGTCAGGCCTCTCCGCTGTTGGCCTCCCCGTTGGTCTCTTTGCTGCTAACTGGTCAGCTTACAGCCAGTGTAGTAGCTTCAGAACTGCTTGGCTCCCGTGTGGCTCTGCTTCTGTCAGTCCAGCTCTCAGCCAGCATCTGTCTCAGCTGCAGCTTTTTAAACTTTATGGCCCAGCTCTTAGCCAGGAGCTTTCTCAGGTGCAGCCATTTTTACCAGGCCTGGAGAGGCCTCTGTGTCCTAGAGGACATCATCCCCTCTCAGTTCCTGTCAGCCAGGAGGCCTTTCTAAAACTTCTGCATTTCAGCTGTTTATGTATCCCAGGCCTCATCAGTTACAGGGTGGGGCCTCCCTCAGCAAACCAAAGTTTACCCAGTCCTCAGTTACCTATGAAATGTCAATCAACTCAGTCTTAAGGAAAAGTAACATTTTCTGCTGGCAGACCCTGGGGCTTCTGCCCTAGGCAAAAGTAACAAACCCTCTGGGGTAGAAAGCGCTTTGAGATCCCACTTGTTGCTTCTCCAAAGCACTAAGGCAAAGGTAATGACTCTTCTGGGCTCAGGGAAAAAAATCTCCCCAACTGCCTGCCCACCCCAAGAACCAAGGCAAAAGGCCACATGAAGGAACTCATTTCACCATAAGGAAACACTGCCTGCCCGCTGCTAGTTTCTTTTAGAGAGCCTGATGAGGTGAGGTCTGGGTGTCCTTAAAGAAGCTTGAACCTGCGGCAAACCGCCACCGCTGGGGCGAGGCTGATTGGAGGAGGAAGAAATCTCTTCTTTCCTACCGTCTAGCATCCTCCTAGTATCTCTGACTAGAGATACTGAAAGAGAACCAGCTGGGAATTGTATTAATAATTTCTATCACAGACTGTGGGAGGTAGATTTAGAGCTGAGAGACAATGGGTGACTAACCAGAGCATTCCCCCATCTAAATTGCAGTCCTCCCCATTCCTGCACTTCCTATTCCCATTCATTTTTAGTATTTATTTTTCTTGTTCATTTCCTGTCTTCCCCTATAGAATGTGGGCTACACAGGTCAGTGTTCTGTTATTATTGTTCTGTAACAAACTAGTGGCTTAAAACAGCAACCATTTTATTATGCTCACAGAATCTGTTGACAGGGAAATTTGGACAGTGCAACAGAGATGGCTTTTCTATCTCCATGATTTCCAGAGCTCAGCTGGAAAGATTTGAAGGTCGGGGGTGCCTTGACCATTTAAAGGGTAGAATCATCTCAAGGTTTTTTCACTCGCACGTCTGGCACGTGAGCTGGAATAACTTGAAGACTCTGACTGCCAGCTAGTGCCTACTCGTGGCCTGTGTGTGCAGCTTGGCTTCCACATAGCATGGGAGTCTCCGGTTAATCTGACTTCAAGGGCTCCAAGCACAAGTATTCAAGCAAATAAGGCAGCAGCAGCATTGCCTTATGTGACTCAACCTCGAAATTCTCACAGCATCACTTCCATACTCTTGATTGAAGGAGTCACAAGCCCACTCAGATTCAGGGGGAGGGGAAATAGTCTCTACTTTTTTTTTAAGATTTAGTTGAAGGTTTACAGAGCAAACTAGTTTCTCATTAAACAATCAATACACATATTGTTTTGTGACATTGATTGCCAACTCCACGGCCTGTCAACACTCTCCCCTTCTCGACCTTAGGTTCCCCATTACCAGCTTTCCTCTCCCCTCCTGCCTTCTCGTCCCTGCTCCTGCGCTGGTGTGCCCATTTAGTCTCGTTTTGTTTTATGGGCCTGTCTAATCTTTGGCTGAAGAGTGAACCTCAGGAGTGACTTCATTACTGAGCCATACTCTTGGGGTTTCAGTGTCTCTACTTCTTGATGGGGAAGTGCCAAGATCACATTGTAGAAAAAGATCCTGACAGGTGGTGTGTATGTATATAGCGTTCTCTCTCCCTCACTCTCTCTTTATATATAGCATTTCTTTCTTTCTATTTTTTTTTTTTAATTGTGATTTAGGTGAAAGTTTACAGAGCAAATTAGTTTCTCATTAAATAGTTAATACACAAATTGTTTTGTGACATTGTGACATTGGTTGCCAACCCTGCAATGTGTCAACATTCTCCCCTTCTCCACCCCAGGTTCCCTGTTTCCATTCATCCAGTTTTCCTGGCCCTTCCTGCCTTATCGTCTTTGCTTTTGAGCTGATGTGCGCATTAGTCTGTATACATGATTGAACTATGAAGCACATCCCTCATGTGTGTTATTATTGGCTCTGTAGACCTGTCTAATCTTTGGCTGAAAGGTGAACCTCAGGAGTGACCTCAGTACTGAGTTAAAAGTATGTCTGGGGGCCATATCCTTGGGGTTTCTCCAGTTTCTGTCAGACCACAAGCCTGACCTTTTTTTTTTGTGGGGGGCAGGAATTTGAGTTTTATTTTACATTTTTCTCCCGCTCTGTCCGGGATCCTCTATTGCAATCCTTGCCAGAGCAGTCAGTAGTGGTAACCGGGCAGCATCTAATTGTTCTGGGCTCAGTCTGAGGTGGTAGGTAATTTGTGGTTATTTTGGAATAAACAGCAGCAGTGATTGTCCTTCCACCCTCTACCCTGTTATATCCCTGACACCTAGGAACACTGCCTGGCATGTAGTTGCTTAGTATATTTTTATTGAATAAATTAATAGTTCAAAAGGTATGAACATTTTAATGAGTTTTAATTGTATTATCAAACATGTTTTCCAGAAGAATTCTTTCCTGTTTCTTATATATTTTTTGTTAATTTTTTTGGGGGGGATCTATATATGTTTTTGCATATGGTGTGGTATTCAAAAGGAACAAAGGTCTGTACAGTAGAAAAACACTGTATATTTATGTTCTTATCCCTCAGCGCCAAGTTCTGTTCCTCAGAGACACTCACTGTTACCAGTTTCTTATGTTTGTTCTTTCAGAGTATTAGTGCAGATTTATACATATAAACATGTATGTTTATTATATATACGTACACACACACACAATTTATTACACAGGGGAAGCTTATAGATACACTGTTCTGCATCTTGCATTTTTCACTTAATAATCTATTTTGGTGACCTTAGCTTCCATATCTGATTGAATTTTAAGAGTAGATTTTCCCTTCTTTCTTGTTTATTTTATTCTGAATGTATATTGTCCCGTGGGAAACATTTTTACTCCATATTTTTCAGTTAAAGATATTAAAGTGGAACCTCAGCCACTTTCTCCAGCCTCTTCAAGTTGTTCAGTCTCATCTCCTCAGTCTGTGGACTCTTATTCTTCAACTCAGCATGTTCCTGTAAGTAGCCAATATTTTATGATGAATTTAGTTATAATGCTATCTGGAATATACGTATATGAGGGGGGCCGTTAACATTTATTAAGTGTTTACTGTGAGCCAGGGGACAGTGGTAGTTCAGTGGTAGAATTCCTCCCCTTCCATGTGGGAGACCCAGGTTTGATTCCAGCCAATGCACCATAAGCACAGCTACCACCCATCTGTCAGTGGAGGCTTGTGTGTTGCTATGATACTGAACAGATTTCAGTGGAGCTTCCAGACTAAGATGAGCTAGGAAGAAAGGCCTGATTATCTTCTTCCGAAAAAGCAGCCGGTGTAAACCCTGTGGATCACAGTGGTCCACTCTTGGGCGTGGGGTCGTTGTGGGTTAAAGGCTGACTGGAAAGGATTAACTACAGCAACGATAATGAGCTAGATACTTTACACTTACTTTCTCATTTAATTCTGAGAAAACAGACTCGAGGAAGGGCCTTGTGGGAATGAGAAAGTTGTTAGTCTCTTTGGTTTTGCCCTCTTTTCCCTGCCCTCTCGCCTTCATAATTTCATTATACCTTACTAGTGTATAATATTTATTGAGTTATTGTCTTTTCCCCTGCCACCCTTTCTCCTCCCTTTGAGGACATGGAAGAATGTAAGATGGTCTGTTTTTGTAACTCCTTAGCCACATAACGTAGAACAGTTTCTTCAATTCAGGAAGGCCTATCACTTCCTCTTCAATGGACTTAGGGTTTTAAAAAAGTCTAGTAGCTCTCTCCTTAAGAATGCGTCTGCTCTCCACCCAGATAAAATCCTCGAGGCCAGTACCTTACCAGGATTTAGGTAATTTTTGAAATGGGGAAAGGTAAAATATAAGAAGAACATTTCAGTACGTTATTCTGTGATAAATTGAGATATCTTCATTACTTCCAGGGCTTTGAACTGGCTCTTCCTGGTTCAGTCATGGCCGAGGAACAGACCCAAGTTTTTACAATTTAGGTGAACTAGAACCGTAACTGAAACAGGAAAAATTACTGGTCGAAGCCCTACTAGAAACTTAATCTCCCTCTTAGAAAACAAGGGCAGCATACGCATTGCATAGCAACCAAGTCTCGTGCATGTCACATTTTGCAGAGTTGGAAACGGTGCCCCACTCAAAGGTGGTGGCCAGCTACACCACTTTGAATGTGTATCACTCTCCTCAGTCCTGGCAATAATCCAGTCTCACACATCAGGCTTCTGAAAGGGCTCACTATGCCTCTTCTGAGTCCCCCATTTTAGGGCTTCAACCCATAATTTTTCTCATTCTGGTTATGGTTCCGGTTCACCCAAATTTAAAAAATTCAGGTCTCTTTTCTGGTTTCCCTTCGTCGGCCATGACTTACTGGTTCAAAGCCCTGATTACTTTAGCCTTTATATCTAGTTAATTACTAAATTCTGGTGATATTATCTACTTAATATCTCCAGGATTCATCTTCTTAGCCAATGTGAGGATATCATCATCTCATCTGGATTAAGTGAATAGAATTTTTTTTTAAATAATATTTTATTGTGTTTTTGGTGGTTGTTTACACAGTTTTCACACAACTTGATCAATGACATTAGTTAAATTTTCCACATTGTGTCATTGTTCTCTTTAATTGTGTTCTGGTTGTTCCATAAGTCGATAGGATTTTAACTGGTCTCTTTGCCTTCCAACTCCCTGAACCTTTCTTGATAGAGGGGTCTTCAAAGAGAGATCTTTCAGAATCACAAATTTGACTGTGTTAATCCTTTGCTTAAAATCTTTTAATGACTTCCCAACCCTTACAAGGATGAAATTCAGATTTCTAGTGTACTAGACCCTTCATGATCTGGCCTCTGCTTACCTTTCCAGTCTCATTTCTCTCTATTCCTTCCTACCTTCGCACTTCCCTTAGCTGTAGCCCTGAGAGAGCGCCTGCCTGAGGTATCCTAAGCTCTCCACTCAATCAGTAACTGTGCCAGGCACTATTCACATTTTTAGATTTTTTGCACATGGTTTTCTTTCTGCCCGAAATAGCCCCATTTTTTCTTTACTTGGAAAACTCTTACTCAACTTCTAAGATCCAGTTCAAAAACTACTTCCTTTCTGAAACTTTTCTCTCATTTCCAGTATTGGAAGTTCTCTGTGGTCCCACAGTTTCTCCAAATTATTTAATTTTAAAAATTTAATTTAATTTTGAAGTCAAAAAGTATATAAAAGATATACTCAGAGAAGTCTGGTTCCTATCATTGTCTTTTCCACCCTTTCTTACACAAAAGGTGGCATACTATATAATATGCCTGTTCTTCTTCTCCTTGCTTTTTTAACTTAGCAGTATATCCTGGAGATAACTCCGATGTCAGAATATAGAATCTTCTTCATCCCTTTTTATAGCTGCTTAGTGTTTTATTGTGTGGTTATATCATACTTTATTCAGTGATTGATTTATTGACGAACATTTGTGTTTTCAGTCTTTTTTAGACTCACTTAATATTTTTGTCAGGATATATTTAGGATATATCCTGAGAAGTGGGATTTCTGAGACTAGGGTAAATACATACGTAATTTTGCTAGATATTGCCAAATTTCCCTCTATAGGGCATTGTACAATTTTACATTCTCACAAGCAGTATGTAAGAGGGTCTGTGTTCCTGTTATCACTACACAGTATGTTTATTTTGTATTTATTTTAAGTGTAGTTGAGCATCTGTTCATATGTTTCAGGCCTTTTTTTATTTTTTTCTTCCTTTTTTGTAAACTCAGTTCACATGTTTTTTTCAAATTTTCCATTGGGCTGTGTTGGTCTTTTTCTTTTCAAAACTTTTAAGTTAATTTAAGGGTTATTAGTCCTTAGTTTGTAAAATAAGTTGCAAACATTTTCCTCCAATTTGTCATTTGTCTTCTAGCTTTATTTATATTGTTTATTTTTGTCAGTCATACTTTTTTCTTGTAGTTGAATTATTAATCTTCCCTTTTATTGTTTTTTTGTCACTCAAAAGGAGGGTTTTTACCACTCACAGGTTATAAAAGAATTCACTCATATTTTTATTCTTGTTTTCTTATGTTAATTTTTTATTTGAAACAATCTCAAATTTAGAGACATGTTGCAAGTAAAATGCAAAGATCTTTTTTCTCCTGAACCATTTGAGAGTAAGTTGCCATCCTCATGCCCTATTAACCCCAAATATTGTAGAGTCTGTTTCCTATAAGCAAAGGATATTTCTTTTCTTTTTTTTTATTTTGAGTTGCAAGATTAAGCCTTTTTTTTTTTTTTGAACATTTTATTGTTGTTTAGGTGAAAGTTCACAGAGCAAATTAGTTTCCCATTTAACAATTTTTTCACAGCTTGTTTTGTGACATTGGTTGCAGACCCGTGAACGTGTCAACACTCTCCCCGCTTCCTCCCTGGGTTTGCTGTGTCCATTTGCCCAGCTTTCCTGCTGCTGAACTTTGCTTTTGAGCAAATGCTGCCCCTTAGGTCTCGTATAGTTGATTGTTCTGAGGTATATATTCTGCGCTGGTGTTATTGTTCATTTTATAGGCCTGTCTATTGTATGGCTATAATGTGATCTCCGGGAGTGATTTCAGTTCCAAATTTGAAGAGTGTCTAAGGGCCATAGAGTTGGAGTTTTCACTAGTTTCTATCAGACCAGTAAATCTGGTATTATTTATGAGTTTGAATTTTGTTCTACAGTTCTCTCCTGCTCTGTCCATGACCTATGATTGTGGTCTCGGTTAGAGTGGTTGGTAGTGGTAGCCCGGCACCATCTAGTTCTTCTTGTCTCAGACTAGTGGAGGCTGTGGTTCATGTGGCTCATTAATCCTTTGGACTACTTGTTTCCTTGAGTCTTTTGTTTTCTTCACTCTTCCTTGCTCCGATGGGAAGAGACCAATTACTGTATCTTAGATGGCCGCTTGCAAGCTTTTAAGACTTAGATGTCCCTGAGACTATGGTCCTTAGTGCTCAAGCCCAGTATCTCAGTCCCAGGAGGTGTATGTTTATGACCAGGAAGTTTTCATGACTGTGTCCCCTATGGGTAGTGTTGCATACTTGGGTATATTTGCAGCATGTGCACATATATATGTACGGGGGTGTACTTCCTTACGCCCTCCCACCCTTGTTCAGCTTACATATCTCCCCAAGTATCCACTCATACGTTATTGTTTGTTATTACTGTTGTTGCAGGATTGTATGTGTATTCCTGTTTACCATTGTTGCCTTTACTCTTATGTACCTTTCAGTGTTTTCCTTTACCTTGGTTATCTTTTGCTGACTTCCTGCATATTGTATATTATCTCTCCAAAGTTAGTATGTATCTGCCATCTAGTTAGTGGGTCCCCCCCCCAATATCTTGTAACCATCTTATTACAACCATCAAAATCAGGAAATAAACATCGATACATTACCGTAATCTAATCCTTAGATTTAGATTGTGCCAGTTTTCCCAAAGATGTCCTTAGACTAGCAAAAGGATCCAGTTCAGAATCACACATTGTAGTTGGTTGTCTTGTCTCGTTAATCTCCTTCAGTCTGAAACAGTTCTTTATTCTTCCTTGACTTTCATGACCTTGTCACTTTTGGAGATTAGAGGCTAGTTATTTTATAGAATGCCCCTCAGTTGGGATTGTCTGATGTTTCTTCAGGATTAAACTCAGGTTTTGCATCTGTGGTAGGAGTATCACAGAAGTGATGCTGTGTTCATCTCGTTGTATCATAGTAGGTGGTGCATGATTTCAGTTTGTCATATTGCTAATGATGTTCACTTTGATCACTTGATTAAGGCAGTGTCTGCTCTTTCTCCCTTTGCCATAAATAAGTATTTTGTGGGGAGGTACTTTAAAACTAGGTAAAAAAATCCTGTTCCTCATCAAACTTTAAATTTATTCATTTATTTGTTTATATCAGTATGGACTCATGATTTCCTGTTTTATTCAACAGGTTATAATCTATTACTATAATTACTTATTCTGATTCTTATATTGTCCCGGATTTGGCCATTGGGAGTCCTTTCATACTGGTTCCTAAGTCCTTTTAACATGCCCTCACCAGGCTCTGACCCCCTGCATCAGGCTGTTCCCATGGGAATGCGCTTGTCACCCTGCTTGGGCTCAGACATCTCACACCAGCCCTCCCCTCCCACCAGGTGCATGCTCTTCTCACTTTGCTCCTAACTCCCCATGCCGGGCTCTCACCCCAGTCCATTTTTAGCAATTTTTGTCTCTTCGCTTTGTTTATAGTCTATTTTTCATTATAACATATTTTAATTTTTTAATTTTTAACGGCTTTATCGAGATATAATTAGAAACCATAAAATTCACCCATTTAAAGTATGCAATTCAATGATTTTTTAGTATATTCACAGATATGAGCAACCATTACCACACTCAGTTTTAGAACATTTTCATCATGTCAAAAATAAACCCCCTACCATTTAGCTATTGTCCTCTACACCCCTGTAACCCCTAGCCCTAAGCAACCACTAATCTACTTTCTATAGATTTACCTATTCTGGACATTTCATATAAATGGAATCATGACATGTTTTAATTTTTTGTTTTGTTTTTTATTTATTTTTATTGTGCTTTAGGTGAAAGTTTACAGAGCAAATTAGTTTCTCATCAAACAATTAATGCGTATACTGTTCTGTGGCTGTGGTTACCAACCCTGTAATGTGTCAACACTCTCCCCTTCTCGACCCTGGGTTCCCCATTTCCATTCGTCCAGCTTTTCTGTCCTCTCCTGCCTTCTCATCCTTGCCCCTGGGCTGGTGTGTCCATTTAGTCTCATATACATGGTTGAGGTATGTGTATTATTGTTTGTTTTATGGGCCTGTCTAGTCTTTGGCTGAAGGGTGCACCTCAGGAGTGACTTCAGCACTGAGTTAAAAAGGTGTCCAGGGGCCATACTCTTGGGGTTTCTCTAGTCTCTGTCAGACCAGTAAGTCTGGTCTTTTTTTGTGAGTTAGAATTTTGTTCTGCATTTTTCTCCAGCTCTGTCCAGGACCCCTCTATTGTGATCCCTGTCAGAACAGTCAGTAGTGGTAGCCAGGCACCATCTAGTTCTGACTTCCAGCTTCTTGAGTTAAGAGGGCCTGCATTATCCTGAGAGTAAACAAGTGTTCTAATAATTTTATAGATTATTTTAAAGATTATTTTAAAGTAGAGATTATGCCCATTCTGTTATTGTATATGCCATCTTTTTCTCTTTGAGTTGAAATACTACTTTTACCCTGTGGTAAGTTTCTTTATTTTAACAAAATGAGGCAGCTCCACCAAAAATGCTAAAAAGCCTTATGGAAAATATTAATATTATATATCTCTACATTATCAATTCACTCATTAGATGAAAGAAAATGCTCCTTTCAGTGTTTATGTTTCTTTGAGCTTTAAGTTTCTTGTTTGACTGAATAAAAGAGATTGTGAGGAAAGTATATCGATATTTTAACTGTAGCTTTGTAATGATACTAAATGTTTGTATGACTAGGAATCAAACAAGATAAAAAGTTTGTGGGAGGAAATGTAGAAGCAAATCAGTGGTTCATATCTTTGATATAAGATGATGGCATAGACATACTCTGTATTTTAAGTTATTTTTTCTTTAGTATTGATGGATAATGTTGATTTATTCAGCCTCTTAGTACTTAATATATAGATTTAGCCTGTAATACATCACACCTTTGCCTTGAAGATGCCTTGAAGTGTTTCTCTGTTTACATATGGGTCTTGCCTCTCTTTCTAAGCACTTTGCTATTCAAGGATGGTGCTCTTCTGCATGAATTTGTTTTGTGTTTTATTTTGCTACAGGAGGAGTTGGATTTGTCTTCTAGTTCCCAGATGTCTCCCCTTTCCTTATATAGTGAAGGCTCTAATAGCCCCTCCTCAGCAGAGCTCCTGAAGGAAGACAAGCCCGTTATTAGTCCTAAGAACAAAACTGGTATTATTCCATCTCCTAACTTCTGTTATTACTTTTTTTAGACTGAGTTTAGGTTCTATTTCTTAAAAGAAAATGTTAGCTTAAGCATTAATTGTTTATTAAACTGCTTGCTGTTTTAAAATTAGTGAACCTAATTTTTTTTTTTTTAATGGATGATTCAGTGTGGAGAGGAAAGGGAAGAAATAATCTTCTTTGGTTGTCTCTGTTTTTATAGGTAGAAAATAGTTTAAAATAGACTTAGGTCCCCTAGTCTTCAGGGGAGATTCTAAAGTTTCAGGTATTGGGTGTGAGGGCTTTTCGGCTGGGACATTTGTTACCTTATTCATCATCTTTAGGCTTTATTCAGTAATTTTAGCTATTTCGCCTGTTCATGTGTTCTCTTCCCAAAGCTTCATGCTTGATCCAAAAGGAAGGCCTCAGATTCATGGCTTTTCTTTAGTCCAGTAGGGTACAGAGTAGCTATGCTTAAGTTTAAGTTAAAGATATTTACTCAGAGGTCAAGATAATGTGTAGAGAAAGGTGTGCAGTAGAATCCATTTTCTGTGATTCGTCTAATTACCTTCAGATTGATTTGTGGTTTGTTTTGTTTTTCTCCAGATAATGGACTGACTCCAAAGAAAAAAATTCAGATGAATTCAAAACCTTCAATTCAGCCCAAGCCTTTATTGCTTCCAGCAACACCCAAGACTCAAACCAACTCCAGCGTTCCAGCGAAAGCCATCATTATTCAGACACTACCAACACTTATGCCACTGGCAAAACAACAGCCGATTATCAGTATACAACCTGCACCCACTACAGGTACCTGAGTGGATATGAGGCTGTGTATATTTAATTGGAAGGAGCTCTGATGGCGCAGTGGTTAAAGTACTTGACTGCTAACCAGAAGGTGGTTGAACCCACCAGCTGCTCTGAGGAAGAAAAATGTGGCAGTCTAAATTCTGTAAAGATTACAGCCTTGGAAATCCTCTGGGGCAGGCAGTTCTGTTTGGCCCTGTAGGATTGCTATGAGTTGGAATTGACTTGATGGAAGTGGGTTTTTTTTTTTTTAAATATATATATTTAATTGGAGAGCAGTGAGGCTTGTGTCATAAGATTTAATTCAGGTTATAATTTCTAAGCATGTGCTGTGTGTCAGGAATTATCCTTGGCTCTGAGTCTGTTGCAGACATGACTAATACATAGTTCCTGTCCTAACAAGAAATCCCTGGGTGGTGTGAACGGTTAACATGCTTGGCTGCTAACTGAAAAGTTGGAGGTTCGAGTCCACCCAGAGGTACGGAAGAGAGACCTGGCAGTCTACTTCTGAAAAATCAGCCACAGAAAACCCTATAGAGCACAGTTCTACTCTGACATATATGGGATCACCACGAGTCAGAGCTGACTTAAATGGCAACTGTTGATTGGTCCTAATAAGGGAGAGAGATATCCAGATCAATCCTTTTTTCTTGAGTTTTAATATGGAAATACATGTCTCTAAGGCTTTTGGTTTCAAGTAACCACTTCTAATGAAGAAGAAAATTTGGGAAACTTTCTTGGTTTCATTTTATTATGAGCTTTTTGTGGCTGTGGAGTTTTTTTTTTTTTTTTTTTTTAAATGAAGAGATGAACCTTTAAAATAATATGGTCTGTTTCAGGTCTAAGATGTGTGTTTTGGCAATAGAATCAGGCTCATAATCTCTGATAAGGCCACGTTGTTTGGTAAACAAGATATTGAACTTGGGCATTAGGAGGAGACCTGCGTCCTTCTAAGGAGACCTGAACTCTGCCTTGAACTACCTAAGAAGTTGTGTGTTTCTATATTTTGTCCACCAGATGGCCTCACATGCCTATAATTCTACAAGAAGTTTAGGTCACTGTTGAAAGTTCAAGTTTGAGGATTTGTTACTGTTCAGATATAGAAAACATTTGGACATAGAGATCTCTTAGGCAGATTATTCATCATTGAACTCAGACTGATATCTATACACATGAGTACAAGAAACCTTGTGCAGGATTCTGTCTCTGGATTTAGCTTGTTGACATAGGGTAGGCCCAGGTGTAAATGGGTTATGGGTTGTAACTAAATACCAATGTTACATTTGCTTTTATGGTTATGTTTCCAGCTATGGATAGTGAGCTCATTTATTTGGAGCATGGTTTTAACAGGGCAAGGTCATAAATTTGATTCCCAGATTCTTTATTACCTTTGCTCTGTTCCATGGTCATATGACATTGATAAAAAGAACAGCAAGGTGAAGGAGTGGATGGATCCATGAAAATCCATCAGTCCCTACCAAAAAAACCCCCACAAAACCCAAAACAGTTTGAAATGCTTGCCCTCCCTTTGCACGATCAAAACTGCTGTCCTTCATATATGAAAAACACCAATCTTGTATAAGAAGGATTCTTATGATCTGTAAATGGGTGCTAAGGGTTCATGAATTCTTGAAATTAAGTGCAAAATTTGGTGTACGTTCATATGTAGATTTTTCTAGGAAGAGCCTCCAAAACTTTCATCAGGTTCTGAAAAGGGTCTGTGTCTTCCTAAAGGCTAAGAATTTAAACTTGTGAAAAACCTCATTATAGTTCCCATGAGCTATTGCTTAAAACGTATCTATAAAACTAAAAGCCTGTCATTAATATGACTAGTGTACAAAGCAGCAGGGGGTGTTCCTAAGAATTTCATCATGGTAGACGATTGGCTATATTTGAGTGATGGAAGTTCTTACTTATAGCAAGAAGACAAACTCTTCTTTTCTGAGCAGTTAGTTTGTTAGTTCTAGAAACCTGAATCATTGATTATTCAGAACTTCAGTGCTTTCTCATAAACCGAAGACTGTACTTATTTTTTTTTTTTTTGTGAGCTAATGTTAGGTACTACACCTTGTCTGTTTTCATAGTACAATCTAGAGAGGTGACATTATTATATACATAACATGCAGATTTATATGTGTGTCTTTGTGGTGCAGTGGGTTTCTCTTTTAGATATGGTCCTTCTACTTGGGTTTATAATTTTGCCAAAAACAATTGGCTGGATTGCAGCCTGCCCTGTGATTGGTCTGTTTTTATACACCTTGCAGGGATTGGTTAGTCTGCTATGCAAATAGGATATGTAAAGCCACCCAATAAGATTATGTGACCTTGTGAGAATTGGTTGATTACTATGCAAATAAGTGACTGTGGCTTACTGAGGGGATTGGTTAGTTCATGGTCCCGGTGGGAGGACCATGCCTTGAAATTGACAAGGTGTCTGATTACATAGGGGCCAATCCCACAAAGGTTGAGGGGGACCTCACTACCATCAAGAAGAGTCTGGAGCATACTGCGCCCTTTGGATTTGAAGTCCCTGTGCTGAGAACCTCCTAGACACAGGAAAAAGAGCTGTAACGCTGGAGACCGCGCAAGACAATAAGAAATGGCAAAAAGTGGCAGCAAGCACAGCAGAGCCCGGTGGCAGAGAAATGGTGGCAGCAGTATGAGTGGCAGTGGCAGGAACCAGGAGACCAGCACGAGGCAGCTGCAGTGGTCTTGCCAACCCATGGAGTGAGAAAGAGCTGAGCGCTTTTGGGCAGGAGGCTTGCTGGTGGAGTGGGGTTCCTCCAGGCACGTGTCAGTGGAGCTAAAGAGCTGTACGCTTGCCCGAGCAGGACAGAGGCCAGGAGAAGTCCCAGCGGTGGACACAGCTGAGAGAAGTGCCGCCTGCGGGCACAGCCAAGAGAGGGGCTGCCTGCCTGTGGGGATGGCCGAGAAGAAGCTGAGAGCTGTCTTGTTTGGAAGCTGTCCTGATTGAAGAACTGTATCCTATCTCCTGAGTTGTATCTTAGTTGTAGTCTGTTACTTCCAAGTTGATCCTGATCCCGAGTTGTAGCCTGTTACTTCCCCAATAAACCATATGATCGTGAGTATGTCTATGAGTTCTGTGTGGCCATTACAACAAATTATCGAATGCAGCAGAGAAGTAGAGAGTGCCATGGAGAGGATGGCTGGCGTCAGAAATGGAAATGAAAAAGTTGGAGAGTGGAGGTATGTGCTGATGATCTTGATTTGCGTCCCTCCTCCTGGTGTGAAACAGCTTGTGATGCCACTAGATTAGTCTTCTTTTTTTTGAGAATTGGGAGGGAGGAGGAAGGGAAATATAGGAGAGGCATTCTGTCGATGCCAGTACCAGTAGTATGTATTTTACCATTAAAAAAGGAGTAATTCGTGTAAGATTAAGTTCAAAATCTCTAACTTGTTATGTAAAACTCTCCACAGTTTGGCTCCAGTTAGGTTTCTAATTTTACATTATATATCACCTCTTTCTATAAACCCCATCTTCTAGCCTAACTAATCTGGTCATTGTTGAATTCTCTCATTTTTCCTATTTTCTTGACTCACATCAGTCTGCCTGCTGGGAACGTCTTTTGCCTACTAATACCTAAATCCAAGGAGCCCTGGTGGCACAAATGGTTAAGCGCTCAGCTGCTAATCAAAAAGTTGGCAGTTCGAACCCACCTAGCTGTTCCACAGGAGAAGAACTTAGCAATCTACTTCTGTGAAGATTACAGCCAAGAAAACCCTGCAGGACAGTCTTACTCTGTCACATGGACTCATTGAATCAGAGTTGACTCGATGGCACCATTTTGGTCAAACAAAAACAGCACACTTAAATCCTATACATTCTTTAAGACTGTTATGACTAGTGCAGGTAAAAGGTGATAAAATCCTGGGATATCAGTGAAAGATGGAGGGTGGAGATGTTAAAAGTGTAGAATCATAGGACTTGATAACTGGATGATATGGAAGTGGGAGGAGGAATAGAGAAAGGATCTAGGATGATTTCCATATTTTTATCTTAGGCTTTGGGATGGATGATGGTACAAATTATTGAAGTGGGGAATACTGGTAAAATAACTTGCCCAGCACTCTGCTAGTAAGAGGTAGAGCCAGAACTTGAGCTCAGGTGATGTGGATCAGAGGCTATGTAATTAATCTCTATAGTATATTGCTTCTAAAAAAATGATGAGATGCATTTATTTTCAAGAACTTCACAGTCTATTTGGGGCATTAACAGATTTACATAGTTAAATAGCAGTGACTGTGAGAACTAATGAAATAATGACATGTAATGTGAGGTGGTTAAGCATTCGGCTGCTAGGCTGCTAACCCAAAGGTCAGCGGTTTGAATCCACCAGCTGCTCCTTGGAAACCCTATGGGGTAGTTCTCCTCTGTCCTGTAGGTTCACTATGAGTCAGAATTGACTCGACGGCAACGGGTATGTTTTTTTGGTTTTAATGCTTTTATGAAAGCTATTACTCTATAGAAAAGGAGATAAATAGTAATAGTAATAATAATGGCTAATCTTTAAACTCTTTACTGTGTGCCAGACACTGTTCTAAGTGCATTATTCTACTTAAACCTTATATCAAGGAGAGATGCTGTTATTATCTCCCTTTTACATGTGAGAAAACTAAGAGAAATAATTTGCTCAAAGTCACACAACTATACCGCTTTACTTAAAGTAGGCATTCAATACATGTTTGATACATAGATTGAAATCTTTGAAGACAGTTGAAAAGGAAGGACTGTCAAAATCAGTGAGTAATACATAGTCAAGAGTATTCAGCATTGAATCCAGCCGCGTTCCATTAAGGAGGATTTGCGTGTAATGCCAAAGAGGATTTTGAACATGCTGACATGGATAAAGAGCCTTTTGGAGTGTTCTTTTGAACTGTTTCCACACTAGAAACAGTAGTAACTGTGTTCAGCTGTTAACTGTTTAAGACCCCAATCTTTACATTGCAGGTTTGTCATCTGGTCAGCATCTAGCAGATCAATG